TTCAACCATCTTAATTTCAAGATAACTAAGCCCTTTAATACACATGTCCAGTGTCTTAATAAAAGCCTGACCAAGACACAAGGTGAGGCTGCCCTTGAACACAGACCTGAACAATACTGTGGTGAAGAGAAAAAGTAGCTTGAATACAGCCTTGCTGTAACCATCCACCTTAGAAAATCTCTGACCTCCTTAGTGTAAAAGTGTAAAAGATATCTGTCATCTGCTATACAAGATAATGTAATAATTAGAACCACCTCCAGCTGATCTGAATGGCATTCCCATATAAGAAAAATATTAATATGTATCAACGGCCTCTCTTTATGAACTATGGGTTCTTTGACGAACACTGGAGATACCATTTAATATATAAACACAGTTAACTCATCAGTTAATGCAAGTCCCCCCCCCTTCTCCTTTTTAAGTGTGGATTGGGGTGGGGATGGAGACAAGCAGAGAGAGAGAGAGAGAGAGAGAGAGAGAGAGGGAAAATGGACAAAGACAAAAGGCAGGTATTTTGGACAGGGTCTCCTTGTGTCACAGGCCTCCTAACCGAGCCTCCCAATTAGCTAGAACTAAATTCAGGTTTGCCTGGGAACGAACCCAGACCTCCCATGCAGCAGCACTACCTGTGCACCATTGCAGCTGGGCCTTTTCTTCTTCTTTAAACCCAGATCTTATTCATTAAGCTAAAAAAATTGAGACACAGCAGCTGTTAAATGAAAGGATTCTTTAAAATCCCCTGCAGATGTTTGCTAACCTTTGAATAAAAGCTTTATCATCTACAAGTCATTAGTTACCAAGTAACAAGTTAACAAGGGGACATCTGTAGACATAGTAAGGCTCTACCACGAGGCCAAAATCAAATATGGATGTAATTCAAGAAATATAAAATGCCGATAAATAAACACCATTTCTTTGTTGTCTGCTCCCACAGTGCATGCAAATATTTTGCAAGCTAATTTTCATCTTATAGCTTAAAGATAGTAATGATTTAGAGGAGAGTACTAGAATTTTGCTGTATAAAGTTTCACTTGAAATAGGTGTGCTATCATCTTTGTTGGACATAAGAAATGTGTTGTTTCTGGGGTTAAAAGATAGAAAAGCAAAATTTTAGTTATAAATATGTGTTTTTTTAAAAAATAATTTTGGAAAAACTTAGAAGTGACTGACTTAATAAAATGATTCACTATAGGATTTATTTAAAATAGCAAGTTCAGTAATAATTCATAAAAATATGATTATGTAACTTTTCAGGAATATAAATTATAAAAAGGTAGACAAAAATCAAAGATTTTCTTGGTATCATAGATCTGATCTCCAACAACAAAGCTGCCAGTCTTGAAAAGGCTATACCTATGTCAAAGTAAAAAAAAAAAATGTTAAGAGAAATTTTTTGCTATAGGGTACATGAACTTGCCAGAGACAGAGACAGAAAGTGAGAAATCACCCACCAGGGGGATGGCCATGCCGCAGTCCCTTCTCCTCCATTCTCCTCTTGGGATCTTGGATGGACGAACGGGCGGACAGATGGACAGACAGACAGACAGACAGACACACACACCCCTGGCCTGGTTTCAAACTGCTGGATCTGGGCTCATACCTCAGTTGACTAGGTGGGAGTCCAGAGAGGTAACCATTACATCATCTGCTGGTCCCCAAAATAATCTTAACATGAGGAAAGAGAAAAATTATAATTATATTTGCATAGATAAGAATTTAAAATGATATACAAGTTATTACTTGTGGTTACTATTGGGGATAGAGTGGATTCCTCACTTACTGTTTTACACATGTCCATATTGTTTGTTTTATAAGAAATATGTATTAGTTTATTAATGTTAAATATTTTCTTAAAACTGACCCGCAAGAGACAGCGAGATGGAAAGTGAGAAATCACCCCCTAGGGAAGAATGGTCATTCTGTAATCCCTTTCCCTCCATTCTCTTTCTGGGATTTTGGCATGCATGCGCACATACCTGGTATTGAATTTTTTTTTAAGAGATATTTTTGCAATAGGGCATGAATGTTCACCAGAAAGAGAAAGTGAGAAATCCCCCCCCAAAGGGAGAAGAGATGGCCAAGCCAAGCCACGATCCCTTTTCCTCCATTCTCCTCTTGGGATTTCATACACACACACACACACACACACACACACACACACGTGCCCAGACTGAGTTTTAAGCCTCCAAGTCTGAGACTTGAACCATGGTCAGCCATGTGGGAGTCCACCACCTGAACCACCATGCCACCTGCTAGCCTCAGTTTTCATAAGCAAATAAGCACAAAAAGATTCTTTCATGTCTGCTCATGGTGGTGCTCCACCAGATGCATCACAATTCTATAGAAAACAGCATCACATTGCTCACTTAAAAATCTTAAAAAGATTGCAGATCTCATGTAAAATGTTCCTACCATAATAACCATAATAATAATAATAATAATAATAAAAGAATGTATCAGAATCAACTATAGAGAATTTTTTAAAAGTATGCAGAGGCCTGGGTTCTACTGCGAAATACTGAATTAGAAAGGAGTAGATACCACAAGACTATACGACCTTTAGGATTCTTTTCAATTCTGAGATATTACTTACAATATTTTGCAAACATTCAGGGTCTAGTCACTAGTAGCTCCAAACAGTAAAAATATCATCCTTGTAAGACAGATGAAGGTCCTTTTCCCTAGAACTATGTACTCACATTACTGACCTAGAGAAACTCACAAGAATAAACTGAAAACATGTATAGCTTAAGTTTCCTCCATGTTTATTTTGATATAAAACCCACCAAATTTTGCTGATACTTGTAAGGTAGAAATTGGCGTAAGTGGCTTTAAGATCAGCACCAATTATTGCAAAAGTGATAGGGAGGTATCAAGGGGAGGGGCAGGGTTGTATATTTATATTGGTTCTTTCACCCAAAACAATCATAAATGGCATTTCCCAGTGAGTCAGATAAATATTAGCATTTTCCCTAACCTGGCTGTTCATTATACATCAGTGGTTTTTGATCCTATTACACAGTGCCCCTTTGTTATACAATAGCCTGTACATCCACACTTATTTTAATTTCTCCTTTTATATTCCAAAATGAAACTCACAGCCATTTAAAGGGATTTTTCAAATATGAAACACCGTAACAGTAGCTTAAAGAAAAATTAAAATGAAAGAAATTAAGAGTAATATATGTATTTCAATATGTAAATGGTCAGGCATGACAACAACGTAGTCAGATGCTTTTAATTAATACATTTAAATTTAAGAGAAGGCAGATGATAAAGAACCATTCTATGCCACAAGTATAGAAAAACTAAGTACAGCCAAGTGATTTTTGGAAATGGTTCCAAACAATACAAAGGAGCCATTATCTCCTGATGGGCACAGTAGCTGCATTTCTCAAAAATTTAGTGGTTATTAAAATGTTTAAAGTTTTAACATGTATATTCCTGTTTATTTTGTAAGTTTTCTCATACAGCAAAAATTACAGTTTTTTTTTTTCAATAGATAACTTTACGTCATTTTGTCTGTTAAACGTTTCTTCCTTTTGCCCCTTTCATGCACCCTCTACTACTCATTCCATTCCCTTACAGTCTCTGGTATCCACACTTTTTATATATATAAAAGTTAGGTTATAGACTCAGATAATTGTAAACAGGTCAGTTTTTTTTTCTTCAAAAATAAGCCATACTTTTGCTATGCAAGAACTACACTTTTTTTTTTTTTAAACTACATGGGGTTTTCTGTGTTTTACATGATGCTTAACTTCTCTGGCTCCTGCCAATCAAATCACTGAGACAAACTCGAAATGTTCCACAAAATTCTGTAGTGCCCCCTAGAGGTTAGTACCATCCCACTGTGAACAACCAATCTAACAAAATATGAGACATCAGAAAGTTTGTGGAAAGAAATGGAATTAAAGTTTCTGAAGTGCAAAAAAAAAAAAAAAAGAAAAATTTTTTTCATAATATGTATTTTCCACAAACTTTTTGAAGACTCCAGGTATGAATTTCTCATACCTATGTGCATACTACAGTACTATCCCCTTGTGTTGGGGGATATGTTCCAAGACCCCAATGTATGTATGAAACCATGGATAATATCAAACTATATATATATACACACACACACACACACACACACACACATATATATAGTGTGTGTATATATATACATATACACACACACATTATGTTTTATCTTACACATACATATCTATGATAAAGTCTAATTTTTTTTTTGAGAGGTTTTTGCTAAAGGGTGCATGTGCTCGCCAGCAAGACAGAGAGAGACAGAGAGATAGAAAGTGAGAAATCATCTCCCAGGGGGGATGGCCACGTCGCAATCCCTTCTCCTCCATTCTTCTCTCGGGATCTTCAGCACATGCCACCATGCGCCTGGCGTGAGTTTAAGCCACCGGGTCCAGACCTAAACAGCGGTTGACTACATGGGAGTCCAGCGACATAGCCATTAAGCTAACTGCTGGTCCCAATAAAGTTTAATTTATAAATTACGTGGAGTAAGAGATTAACAATAACTAATAATAAAATAGAAGAGTTATAACAATATACTGTAATGAAAGTATATGAATGTGGTCTCTCCCTTCTTCCCTCTCTCAAAACTTGATAAGGAGACGGCTACTAAGTCATGAACAGGCAAGTGAGTAGACCCTGTGGATACCCTGGACAAAGGAAGGATTTGCAGCCTCATCAGGACAGAGTGAGATTTCATCATGCTACTCAGAATGATGTGCAACTTAAATTCTAGGGATTTATTTCTAGAATTTTCAATTTAATATTTTCAGGCTGTCATTGATTATGTGTAACTGAAACCATAGACAGTGAAACCACAGATAAGGGGAAGTACAGTGAGATAGATCCTGACCCTGGGCAAGCAGGAAGATGACTACTGATCCCTGAGCTAAGGCGAACGCTTCTTTGACATTTTTACTGAAAATTCTAGTGCACTTCGAATCCAGAAGTTGCCAACAAAATATATTACCTAAGTGCTCACTTTGGCAGAACATACACTAAGATTGGAATGACACAGAGAAATTAGCAAGGCCCCTGAACAAGGATGACATACAAATTCGTAAAGCATTCCAAATTTTACAAAATGTTACTTAAAACTGCTGATATGTTTTCTTGAAAAAGTAGATAATAAGGTTATATAGAGAATTAAATAGAGCTTTACTAATAATTCTGCTTCCTCTCTCTCCAACTGCACCTAAAAATACTTTCCTGAGTGTTCTAGGTAATCAAGGTTAGATTGTGACGGTATAGTCATCCTCTTTAGCCACACTAATGCAAAGATACACTGATGGGAGCAAGCCAAAAGCCATTTATATATGCCATTAAAATGGATCACTGCTCTTTATTTGGCACAATATCTTCCTCATTAAATTTTGATTAGGTGTCTATGAAAAGTAGTTTACATTTCCTGACTAAATGACAAAAGCATATGTCTTTTGGGGACAGATTAAGAAGACTACTGCCTGTGAGAACTGGTTAACTACTGGGAAAGAAAGTGTCCTAATAATTATTTAGGGAAGTCTGATTAATTGGGATTTGGATACACAATTTGTTTTTGGCACTGAAAACGTCTATACCTTCATACAGATTTTATATTTAAATTAGCACACCATTCACAGAAGTAGCATACCTACAGACAGACCTTCACCTAAGGACCTGACTTTACCTAAAAGATTCACAGCTTAGAGGAACATCACCGTAGGACTCCTTAGAACATAAAAACACTTCTGAGTTAACACGATATTTTAAAATGAATGAATAAATTAATGACTGAATACACATTTAATTTCTACACATTATAAGAGACTTTCTTAAAATGTCCATTGAAACAGTAGTTAGCCTCAATAGATGAAATCCAGTTTTATAGACATTTAACCTGCTTTCTACTTTAAATTTCACAAATTAACCAATAACGCATAAAAGAAATCATTACTCCATTAAAAAAAATAATTTGAAGCTCGTTATCTTTCTTCATACCTAAAATCAGTTTAAAAATTGGCTTATCCATGGCACAACACTAGAGAAAAAGAAGTTTTATGTATAACTAAACATATATTTTTCAGTATTCTGATTCCTAATTGCTGCTGCAAATACACTGACAAAATGTAGAACCAGTACATTTGTGTACTTTGTGAAGTGAGATTCACTTCTGGATCTGTCTTAAAACAACCATACATAAACACCAATTCTAAAAGGCTTTATTATTCCCATAAAAAACATGTCTTATTAAATAACCTCAGAACAGAATATTTTCTACTATTACATAGAGAATTATGCTATTGATTTTTTTAAAAAAGCAAGTAAACAATATCTACTCATTTTTTAAAAGAATGTGATTCTGAAAACCTCATCTAATATGAAGTTCCCAGTACTGTATGTATCAAATGGGTAATACAAGCTTTGCACTTACCTGGTACTAGGCCGTTTTTGCAGGGCTTTATCCAGGATAAGAGATGGAGCACTCCTCCTCCTTTCTGCTAGTGTTTTCATTTTCTGTTGAGGAAAAATAAAAATGAAGAATATGGCCCATTTTTGCCTATCAAGAAGCCTACAATTTCTTATTTTACAGAGAGAAAATGGTAACATCAGAAATAGAACAATAAGTTTCCAAAAGTGGTATAGGTAGGCCCAGCTGTGGTCATAGTGGTAATCCAATGCTCCGCAATGCTGGAAGCCATATGGAAAATTGAGGTTTGGTTCCCTGGTTGACCTGTAGCCACTGTGGTGTGTGGATCCGACTGAGAAAGGCTGGCAGCATGTGGAAGGGTGATATGGTGGATCAAGGCATGAGATCCTGTTGAGGGTGCTTCTCACATGAAAGCAATACATGTGCTTAAAAAAGTGGCATAGGCAGTAAAAGTTTTTTAAAGTCACAGAAAATAAAGGGGTTAAATGTTGACCCCAGAGTATTTGAGAAAAGCACCTACAAAACCATTATTGTTGTTTACTGTGTGTCAGGCCCTGTGGTAAAGGTTAGACTTGGTTTATCTCATTTATACCCCAAAATGTAATCAGGGTAGGTACTACTATCTTTATTTCAGAGGCAGAACAGGTCCCAAACGGGACTTTAAGTAAAGATGAGACTTGGATAAATCAAGGAAGCTGGGGTGGGGTGGTGGCGGGGGATAAAGGAACAGTTAAAGCAAAGGCATAGAGACTAGATTATCACTGATGTTCATCAATGTTTAAATTTTGTTTTAAAGTATTTACACATTTGAGAACTTCTTCTTCCCAACAGATTTCTTCATTGTAACTTAAAATGCACACACACAATCTTTTTTGTTCTTTCCTACATGTTATATAAGAGAAATTAGATCATTCTAATTCAGTTGTTCTATTTCCAAAGATCTAAGACTTAAGGTACTGAGGTTGTATTCAAGTTGAATGATCTAGATAATTACTTTCTAAATTCAATCATATTTAACACATCCAAATGCAGCCTGAGGACCTGCCACAGAGATAGATAAGTAAAATGGACAACAGAGTCACAAATGGCCATGAGTGAGTTTCATCAAAGCCATTCTTTATGCCTTACCCTCTCACCCTACCCTGACCAGAGGTCTCATCCACTGCCTGAGGGCTAGGCCAGCCGTTCTTGGGGACTGGATATTGCTCTAATAGGAACCATATAAAACTAACCAGTTGGCTTAGGGTAAGTATCCTGTTACCTAATTCATAAAGGAACCGTTTCTTAGCTAGTAAAGTAAAACCCAGATCCCAGCATAGGAATAAAGGAAGATTGATTCAGTAGGAAGGGTATGTTAGACTTCTTTGGCACAATTCCTACCCTACAAATTCACAATACCTCCAGGGATCTCTCCCAAATTATTGTCACCACTGCTCTGGCCTCAGTGTTGCTGTTCCCCTCATGAATCTTTTGGCTCACACGTGGAAACTGTATGTCTAAATCTCATTAGCACAACTGAGAGAGCAGCCAAAGCAATTAATATAAAACATTAATAAAAGACAGGAAATAACTGGGTTAAGAAACAGAATATAAAACATCTAAAGCAGAAGTTATTAAACATCAAATGGTTTCAAGGCAAGTTACCTGTATAAAAATTTTTGTATGATGTGTATTTGGCATCTTCCTACTAAAGCAGCAGCCCAATTGTCATCAGATTCCTAGAAAAGCAATGTTTCCCTACCCTAGTGATTCTCAAGAATCTAGTTAAGATATTATAGCTTCTACCTCACTGTTCTCATTCATCATGCCTCTTAGGACAAAATCTTGAGGAATCTAGTATCCTGACACTAGGATGACTGTAGAGGTTATAGGGAGAAAGGAAATCTGGGAGACTGGTACTTATACTGCAAGCTACAGCAGCACTGTCCTATCTGAAAAGCCTCAATATTGAAAGAATGGATTGATTTTTGTTAATAAAGATGGCAGTTCTTATTCCAGACTCTTTGCAGGATTCTATTTCAACCTCAAGACCTGGGCTTGATTTTCACTACTCATCCTGATACTCTTCATTCAGGACCTGTTTGTTTCTTTGAATACTACTTAGTCATAAAGAACAGTGAGACTGTCATTCAATACAAAGTGGATGGACACAGAAGATGTAATGCTAAGTAAAACAAGCCAGACTATGAAAGACAAGCACTATACCCCTGCTCAATATATACTCAACATCTGCACTCTGAGGCAGAAATGGAAAGATGCAGAGACAAGAATGGAGATGATTAAGTGTAGATACCGTAGGATGTATGGGAATGGGGTGGTTGGTTAGTGGTGGGTGGATGGGAGGGGCTGAGGAAAAAAGTGTTTTAACAGACACAAGAATGCACAGTTTTTTTTTTTGTTGTTGTTGTTGTTGAAAATGATGGGTATGGCAATATACTTGCAGGCTTTGAAAAATCCTATTATATACCAAAAAGATGTACAAGTAAAGGTGAATAAGAAATTATAAAATAAGACAAAAGTTATTACCAAATTAAAAAAAAAAGAAATCTGAAATATAAGCTTTACCTGAGCCTCTTACCCTCTGTCTGCTTTGACCTTGAGAGTCTGCCTAACCTACCTAGTGGGGCACACATTTCTGGGCTGAATCGATGGTTTTATGTTGGCTTCCCCTAATTCTCTGATGTCACTGTCGGAGATACAAGATCCTACACTAGATTTTCATTAGCATGTAATATTTAATTCTGAGTTCCTTGGCTTTCTGGTTTATGAAGAATTTGGGAAGTGATAAAAAAAAACCCCAAAACCCAGCCACATAAGTTATTTAAAATGTGGAGGAAAAATGAGCCTATGAAAAAAATTAAAATGATTTGAGATTCTTCACTTGCAGATAGTAACAATCTCAAAATTAATGCAGAACTGTAATAGGATGGAGAGTAAGCACTTTCTGAGGAAGATGAGTGACAAAGACATGGGCTTAACCGCAGAATGAGAACCTGAGTAGACCCTGGAGCAGTTCTTCGAGAAATTTACAAAAGTTGGGAACTGTATTTTGCATTTTTAATGAAATCTTGGGATATTCAGAAACCCTCATAAAATGGATTCTCCAGGGAGTCATGTCCCCAAATTAAGATATCTAACGATATAAAGAAAGCTTTTTAAGAATGTTAGCTGTTAAACATGAGGATAAAAAAGGTGACAAATTTTGAAAAGGTGCTTTTTCTTTTGCTTTTTGAAATTTTGACAGAGGGCATGTGGACTCACTGGAGAGAGACAAAGAGATGTGAGAAAGCACCTCCATAGGGCATGGTCATACTTCAAACCCTCTCCTCCATTTCTGCCTCCTGTCTGAATTTTGCACCCAGTGTGTTTCTCAAGACACCTGGCATAGGACTTGTACTGCCAAGTAGGCCATATGGGATCCAGTCGCCCTAATCACCGTGCCATAGGCTGGCTCAGTAATGGTGCTTTTAAAGTAGGACTTTTTAATGGAAACCAAACGCAGAAGATCATTTTTATACACAGCGATGATACCATGTTTTCTGAGTTATAAAATTGTCCAGTATATGTGGGGTCAAATGTTGAGGGTATCCACCTCATCCAGCTGGATTCATATTGCAGAGAAGATAGTCAAACAGAACCTACTGTTTGTATTCACACTCTACCACTGATGAGACATGCAACCTAAGGCAATTCGGGCACTTCACTGGGCCTCCATTTCCTTATCTACAAAATGAGAAAATTTGGACTATCTAGTCACTTCTATTTCTGATATTTTCCTATTAAGTGTTCATCACGTCACCCTACAGATGCAAGAAAATAAATATCATGGGATTCGGCCATTGTGGCATGCACTGCTAAGGTGCTGTGCTCTGCAGGCTGGATGTACATGAGGCCTGGGTTGGATTCCTGGTTCAGTGTAAAGGCTAGGCACAGTGGTGTGCATTTGTAACTCAGCTACTCAGGAGAGTGAGGCAGGGCTGCAATGGCAAGACCCTGTTTGAAAGAGACAGAGAGAGACAATTAGGGAGACAGAGAAAAACAAAGAAAAATGGAGAGAGATGGAGAAAAAGAGATGGTGAGAGAAGGACAGAGATGGCTAGAGAGAGGAGATGAGAGGGAGAAATCAAGCAAACAAGCACTACATGTACCATACATTTAAGATTCACAAGATTCATTTCTTTTGTAAATAGAATACTGTATATTTTCTTTGTTGGCTTAAAAATGACAAACCACTGGGTGGCTTTTCAGAATTGGCAAGGGTTCTATGTTTATATGACTTCATAAATTGTAGATGTCATCCTGAAACCAAATATTTTTTAAAAGGTAACCTTTTTTTTAATGACAAACTATATATTAGGCAAAACAAACCAAAATCTAATTGTCTATTTTTTTGTTTGTTTGTTTGTTTTTAAAGAGAGATTTTTTGCTATAGGGCACATGCACTTGCTGGAGAGACAGAGACAGAAAGCGAGACATCACCCACCCCCACGGGGGAAGGGGGAGATGGCCACACCACAATCCCTTCTCCTCCATTCTCCTCTTAGGATCTTGGGCATGCATGCATACGCGCCCAGCGTGAGTTTTAAGCTGGATCTGGGACTCAAACTGTGGTTGACTATGTGGGAGTTCATCGACATAAACATCATGCCATCTTCTGGTCCCTAACTGTCTAACTATATCAACTTTTTGGGAATGATTTTCTTGCTACCGTACCATTTGCCTTGCATGTTTTGTTAAGTAGCCACCAAAACTAAACAAGAATTTTATGAGATAAAGTCAAACAAACTTGAGTAGCACCTAATCCTCTCTGCCCCCAATGGGAAAAGATGAGCAGGAGCTTAGAAGAAATTATAAAAGGGAATAAAGAGTGATTAAGTTTTAAAAGCTGTGTCATGTTTTTTAAAGTAATTTTTTAAGAGAGATTTTTGCTATAGGGTGTGTGTGCTTGCCAGAGAGACAAAAAGCAAGAAATCACTCCTGAGGGGGGATGGCCATGCCACAATTCTTTCTCCTACATTCTCTTTTTGAGATTTTGGGCATGCACACATACATGCCTGGCATGGTTTCAAGCTGCTGGGTCCAGGAC